GGCGCTCTGCTCCATCCATCAAAGCTTTCATGCAGGTGGCCATGTCGTCATAGCGCTCGGTCTGGTCGGCCAGCTTGGCCTTCTGAATCAGCTCGGTCTTCTCCATGGCAAGCGAGAGCTAGTCTGCGGCCGTGGGTGCCCCTGGCTGTGTTTTTTGATATAGATCGCTATGTAATGCAGATTGGCCTTGAATTTGTGATCTCCTGTCTTAGCCTCCCATGCTCAGATTACAGGCGTGAACCACCATCCCCAGCCTTAGATGACTATTAGCAAATTGACCTAATGAAAGGGAAATTTTCTTCTTTGCTCCCAAGGTAGCAACAATTGATGTATCTGTGCCCAGAAGACCTTAAGTTCTTCCTGAATGTAGCCCCAGTAATTTCATGCCTTTTAGAGGTGAGATCAATGGGGAAAAGGAGAGTAGAGACAAGCCTTCACTTCACCCTTGTGATTAGGAAGACTCTAAGTGTAATAGAACTTGAGGTTCCAGTATGATAGCTTATATTATGCTCCCTTTACTTCATAGAGCTGACTTTACAAATGGCCTAGCAGGTCTAAGTTAAGAAAACAAGGTATGGGCTGGAGAGATGGCTCAGCGGTTAAGAGCACTGACTGCTTTTCCAGAGGTCCTGAGTTCAATTCCCAGCAACCACATGGTGGCTCACAACCATCTGTAATGGGATCCGATGCCCTCTTCTGGTGTGTCTGAAGACAGCTGCAGTGTACTCACATACAATAAGTAAATAAATCTTTTTTAAAAAAGTGAGGTGTACTAAATGATGATATTTGGGGATTTTATTACCTATTGTTAGGTATTTATTGTTCAGTAGTTATTTTCTTTTGAAAGGAAGAAATCATGAGAGAAAACAAGGTACATAAAATTTTTTCATAAAGAAAAATGTTATTATAATTACATGCTAAAATTAAATGCATTTGTTCATGGTTTCTATGCTTCTGCTAGAAGGTACGGTTTGTTGAATGACAATATTGTTATTTTCTTTGTATCCTAAGAATCTAAAGGAGCAAATGTGCTGTAAATTCGTGGTGAAAAGAAAGCATAAGCAGAGCTTCAGGATGAGTGAATGAATGTGTGCGTGCTCATGTGCAGCACAAGTGTGGAGGTCAGAGGACAGCTGTGGGAGTCACTGGGTGGGTCCCTGAGATCAAATGTGGCTCATCAAGCCATCTTGCCTGCCTTAACAGTTGTTTTCTAGGGCTGGAGAGATGACTCAGTGGTTAAGAGTACTGGCTGCTCTTCCTGAGGTCCTGAGTTCAATTCCCAGTTAGTGGCTTACAACCATCTGTAATGGGATCTGATGCCCTCTTCTGTCATGCAGTCATACATGCAAATAAGCACTCATACATATAAATAAATAATTTTTAAAAAAACCCCTATTTTTTTTATACTTGAGATTCATTCAAAATGTTGGTACCTTACTTACTGTCCTTTCGCAGTGAAGAGACACCATGACTGAGGTAACTTATAAAAGAAGCGTTTAATGTGGGGCTTACAGATTCAGAGTATGAGTCCTTACACGGTAGGGAGTATGGCAGCAGGCAGGCAGGCAGGCAGGCAGGCATGGTGCTGGAGCGGTAGCTAAGATATGGAGACAGAGAGAGCTCACTGGACCTGGTGAGGGATTTTGAAACTTCAAAGCACCCTCAGTGACACACCAACAAAGCCACACTTCCCAACCCAACCCTTCCTGACAGCCTACCCATTAACTGGCAATCAGACGTTCAAATATATGAGCCTGTGAGGGTGGCTTTCATTCAAACACCACAGTTGGCAAGATTGGAAATGAGAAGTCAAGACAGTCTGATAGCAAAACAGTCAATAGATCATCCATATTCCAGTAGAGAGAAGAGAATAAACTCTCAAAAGTCATGTCCCTGCTTGAAATACAATTTTTGGAGAAAAAAAAAAAGAAATCTTGAGAAACAAGCAGAAGCCAGGCATGGTGGTGGATGCCTGTAGTACTCCCAGAAGGATTGCCCCAAGTTTGAGGCAATCTGATCTATGTAGCAAATCCAGGCCAGCTACAGCAAAACCCTGTTTTGAGAAGAGAAGACAAGACAAAAGAAAACCTGAAAGACAAAGAAATCTTTGAAAAGCCTGTGAAGTAATGGGGAACTCACAGGTACTTTGGAAAGTGTGAAGCCATTCGATACAACAGACACCTAAGTGTGTTCCTTAGGACCACTAGCAGGATAGTTGCCAGGTTGTTAGATTCATTGGAATGTTCCTTTGCAGCCTTTGAGCATGTAGCTTAAGATACTTTGTGAGTGAGTGAGATAGTGATTGTGTGTGTGTGTGTGTGTGTGTGTGTGTGTGTGAGTGTGTGTGTGTGATATTGGTGTGGGTATACATGCATGAAGGCTAGAGGAGGATGTTGGATGTTTTGCTATTCTACTCTCTACTACTTTGAGACAGGTCCTCTCATTAAACCTTATGCTGGCAGCCAGAAATCCTCCCACCCCTCCTCCTCTACCTCTTAGCACTGTGGTTACAGCTGTGAGGAGCTATACCAGCACTTTTGATTTTTTTTTAACATGATGCTAGCATGTAAACTCAGGTCCTCATGTGTGAGCAGCAAATGCTCATTACATACAGAGCCATCTCTTCAGCCTTTCCCTAGCCTAAGTAGGCGTGTTCAATAGAGGCTTTGAGTCTGTAAATCGCCACAGGTGTTCTCCAGACCCTTCTCCCCAGGGAAACAGGAGAAAAAAAAAAAAAAGACAGTTTGATCTCAGAGGTGGAAAATCTCCCAGAGAGAGCCCCTTGCAGCTGGAATCCAATTTCTGGATATTTCTGAAGCTGGAATCTGTTATAACTAGAGAATGCTGAAGGATAATAGGCTCCTGTTGCTAATGAAACACTGAGACCAGAGCACAGAGGTGCCTCTGCCAAGCAGAAACTGGCCTTTTCATAAAGCACATATTGTAATGATTCTGACTAGTGAGTGGCTCTTAGTTGTGGCCCCCTCTCTAAGGGCTTTGATTAGGCCACTTCCTTCTTCTCTTTTTATTAGAGACATGATTCTGTTTCAAAGTGGAACTTGGGTTTCCACTGCCTCTTGGCATTTTGCACCCATTGTCTCCCATCTAGTGTGTCATGTGGCTGAGATCAATGAACAGTTAAGGCCGGTGAGCAACGCTTCGCATTTATAAGCATCCACAGCCTCAAGTTCAAAAGCACAGTCATGACCTTGTCCTCTCCTTCTGGAAATCTATACTCAGCTGTTTCAAACCTCTTTGTCTTAAGAGACAAATTAACTGGTTGTGGCCAATTACATCCCACCTTCACCCAGCCTGGGTCAAAGCGGCTGATTTACAGTAACAGTGGCATAAGTGCCAGTTGGAAAGGCGTGTTTTCCAGGCCAGTGTGGCTACAAGTGGCAGAAATGTGATGCAGACTAGCTTCAACACCTTCAGGTTATGTGTGAAAAGTCCAGCAGACCTGGGTCTCACATGATGTCAGAAGCCTGTGACCGTCTCCGTTTTGCCTTCATGCTTTTACCACTCAGTAACAGCAAAGCTCTCAGGCTCACTGACTGAACAGCTCCAGGCTGTGAATAAATACGCACCTTTGACTCAGCCGCACACCAAAAGTCTGCAGACAGATCCTAAGAAGCACCATCTGAGTCACATGCCTATCACTGAGGTGGCAGTAACTCATAAGGCATGACTTCCTCTGACTAGGTATGGATATTGACTGTTGGTTGGGCCTGAAGTGGGGCAGTTAGGCCCCACCAAGTCTCAAGGACAGAGACAGTTTCCTATGGAAGAAAGGAAAGGATTTCTCTTAAAAGAGGCAATTCCAGGACAACAAATTACCACAAGCTTCTAGAAATAAAGTGTTTCATGGATTGGGCAGAGTGACAATGAGGCCATCATCTGGATGCAATGATGTAGTAGTCTAGCTGCTGACCTGCACTCTGGTGGCTGTCTCAGCACCCTAGAAGAAGCAGAAGAAAACTGGAAGTAGGTGGGTAGCAATTTGTTCATGGACCATGTAGGAGTCAAGGTGAAGGGCAGGTTTAATGAGTGAGGGTTGAGAGGCATGGTCACATCTAACAGATGTAATCCAGACCAAGTACCAAGAACATTTCATGCCCGAGCTTAGAGAGGGCGCGAATATGGCTGGGGTATTTGCATATGATTCTAGACAAGTTTTCTAGCTGACATGTATGCATTTCTCAGAACTCTTGATACATTTTCTCTGAGAAGCCTCTTGTAGACCCCACTTGTTAAAAGTAGGTAAACCTTCTGACAGGAGATGCTTGTCTAACACCCTGAGACATTCCATCCTAACACGTCGACAGTCATCATATGTACTAGAAATGAGTGTCTAGAGTCACTCAGTTTGTTTAAAGCTTGGTTGCTGAGCTATTTCAAGACTGAAGACATTGAAAATGCATATATGTTTGTAGCTCAGACAGGCCTTGAACTTGTGATCCTCTTGCCTCAGCTTCCCAGTAAGCCGCAACCACAGATCTGTATCATCAGGCCCAGCAATGTAATTCTCCATTGGTTTCCTTTCACACAAGGTATTGCTGTGCAGTCCTAGGTTGGCCTGAAACTGCCTACATGGCTCAGATTAGCTTCAAACCCACAATCCACCTCTGCTTCCTGGGTGCTGGGATAACAAGCCTGCACTAACTGCCATGCCTGGCCTAAAGGTACTACACTGAAAGCTTCTGCTTTGTGTCCTGGACCCTGTTCTCTGTCCACCCATACATGGCATGTGCTTCTGTATCACAGAGGCAGCACTTGTCACCAGGGAAGGTAGTCACAAGTTTACATGTCACCTTCTTTTCCTATGTATAACTAGAAGGAAGAAATTACTCAGGTACTTGAAAGAATCAAACACAATGTCTCTTTCTCTCGAGTTAAATGAACTCATAGATAAAATGCTACCAAATACCATGTGTTAGATAGCTCTGACTTAAAAGAAGCTTCTAGGACAAAAATTAACTGTTGTACATCTTCTCCTCTAGAATACTCTTAGATCTCCAGGACAGCATGTTCAGTTTGGTTTGTGTGGTCTCCCTGGCCGTCGCAACAGTGCAGATTCTGACTTGGAGCTCCTTCTCTATCAGGAACAGAAGAGACTGCTCAGGGACGGTGTAAGCATAGTGGCTGTGCTACCGCTTCAAGTGCTTGTTAGTTCTTACAGGTTATGCTGTGCTCACGGGCAGAAACGATCTTTATATCCTCTCATTTGTTTAAAATCCAGAGCAAATAAAACAAAACCTGACAGTTTTTGAGTGTTTTTTGACTTTTGAAGTTAAGGTCTTGCAAAGAGATTTTTTCCTGGTGGTCTTACAGCCTAGGACCTGTGGCTCCTCACCATTAGACTGCCTTGTGTAACTGGAGCCCACCCATCAGTGCACAGCACTCCTCTTAAATTCCTCAAATCTCATATTGCTGCTCTGATTGCTTTCATGAAAAGACAGCATTCTTCCCTCCTCTTTTTTTTTTTTCTTCTGGGGCTGGGACCCTTTTACATGTTAGGCAAATGTCCTACCACTGAGCTACATTTAAAAAAAATACATTTTTTGGGGCTGGAGAGATGGCTCAGTGGTTAAGAGCACTGACTGCACTTCCAGAGGTCCTGAGTTCAAATCCCAGCAACCACATGGTGGCTCACAACCACAGATGAGATCTGATGCCCCCTTCTGGTGTGTCTGAAGACAGCTACAGTGTATAAATAAATAAAAATCTTTTAAAAAAATACTGTTTTGTTTTACAACAGGGTCTCCTTAAATTGTCCAGGATGGCTTCGAACTCACATTGCTGTCCTGGCAGGCACTGAAACTAGCAATCCTGTTTCAGTCTCTCAAGTAGTTGGGATTATAAGTTTATGCCACGAAGGACTGGCCTCATGCACACCCCTTCCATTAACACTGCATCACCACCGTCAGTATTTTTTTTTTCCTGTGATGAGAAGCAGGGAAGGTCACTACGCTCCTTGATTTGGAAATGCATTACAAAACTCATATATATATATATTGCTGGTACAAAAGCAGACACAGGAACCATTAGAACAGGAACAAAGACCCAGAAATGACTCCCACATTTACAGTGAGTTGAGTTTTCAACAATGGGCCCCAAAACATACAAGTCGGGAAAAGGGCAGTTTTTTTAATGAATGTTGTTGAGAAAAGAAGATGGCTGCATGTGGAAGAGTGAAATTTGACCCTCATCACACCATATAGAAGTCAAGTGAAAACAAAGACTCAAAACCCAAGATTCAGCGCTGTAAAACCAATGAAGGAAAACAGGATAAAGGAGTGGGTTATATAATACACACTAAAGGACACAGAATGGAGACGTGCCATATACTGGGAGAAAATACTTGCAAACCATGCACCCAAGAAGGGTTGACAGCTAAAATATAGCAAATCTAACCAAATATATAAAAACAAATATCCCGATTTAAAAATGGAGAAAGAGCAGGGTGTGGTGGTGCACACCTTTGATCTCAGGGCTCGGAGGCAGCAGCAGGGTGATCTCTGAGTTTGAGGCTAATCTGCTTTATAAAGCAAGTTGAAGGCCAGCCGGGGTTACACAGTGAAAAAAAATCATATTTAATATAAAAGTGTGATGGTTTTCTTCATTGTCTTGATCAGATTGGGAGTCACTGAGGAGACATTTCTCTCAGTAGGTCTGGGAGGGTGTTTTCAGAGAAGTATGGAGGAGGAAAAACCGCCTTGAGCCTGGGCACAGCACCATCCCAGTCTCGATTCCCAGCTGATTACAAAGGGAGAAATAAGGGGACAGAGGACCACCGTTCATCTCTCCTTCCCGAGGTAACACAGTGTGACCGGCGGTCTCCCAGTCTGTCCTCTACCATGGGTCTACCCACTCAAATTGTGAGTCAACATAAACTCTTCAACCTGTCAGTTGCTTTCTGTTAGATATTTGGTCACAGCATCAGGAAAAATAGCCAGCAGTAAAACTTTATTATAACTCTTGCAACATGATTTATAACAAGTTTATCAGGAGCTTGGGGAGGGGTGTCTCGTTCAGTGGTAGACTTAGCATGTATGTGGTCCCCTGACCTCTTCAGCACAGAAATAAATACATTCGTAAATCCAGTTCAATTTAACTTTTTTGTGAAACAGAGTTTTAGTTTGTATCCCAGACTGGCCTGGAACTTGATATGTAGTACAAGCTGGCTTCAAATCAATGACAACCCTTCACAATGTATTGGGTATTGGGATACAGGCATGAGCCACCACACCTGGGTACACATATCTTTTGTTGTAAATTACATACTCAGAAACTTCTACTGTGATTTGCTTTTTCTTACAGTTTCCACCCTTAGGTTGTTTTGTTGTTTTTTTTTTTTAAGTTTGTGTGAGATGGAACTCAGGTCCTCATTCTTGAAAGCAAGTTGTTTACTGTCTGAAACATTTCTCCAGCCCCACTATAGGTTTTTATAATTCATAAAAAAAATCACAAAATCAAGACTCTTTTGGACAATGTTGAGAAAATGAAAATGTAATCCATAAACTTGAAGGCAATGTTTATAAAATGCCTAGTGATAAAGGACTTTTTTGAAATAAAAAAGGCTCTAAATTCAATTGAAATGGGAATTCAATTTAAGAACATGGAGAGGCCAGGCAGTGGTTGTGCGTGTGCCTTTAGACCCATCACTTGGAAGGCAAAGGCAGGTGGATTTTTGTGAGTAGGAGGTCAGCCGATCTACAGAATGTGTTCCAGGACAGCGAGGGCTACACAGAGAAACAAACAAACAAACAAACAATGTAAAGATTTAAATAGACATTTCATTAAAGAAGACACATAGAACTTGGAAGAGTGCTTAACATTAGGAAAATGTGAAACAAAACAATAAGATAGCACTGTATAAGAATTATAATCCTCTGTGGCTTGTGCTACTCCTGGTGCTATGTGGATGTCCATGGTCTGTGCTGCCATCTGAAGTCATGTTGATGTTCATGGGCTGGGCTGCCACTGGGGCCGTATTGTTTTGTGTGACCCATGTTGCCCAGAGGCCGTGTTGATGTCTTTGGCCTGTGCTGCCACAGAGGACTGTGTTGATGTCTATGGTCTGTACTGCTACCAGAGACTATGTGGATATCTGTGGGCTGTGCTGTTGCCAGACACTATGTTTAACTTTGTGATCTATACTCTCCCAACTGTAAAGATCAAAGAAGCCACTTTTGCAGTGGTACTATTGATAACTGTGGAGTCGCAGTTGAGAAAGAGGGACATAGAAGGCTTCTGTGACAACCCCTAACACCCTGCCCCCAAAAGTAACAACCCAGACAGGAAGTCATCTAAGAAAACTCTTACAAATTGTGACAAGGATGCTGAAGTGTAGCTTTCTACAACCGATGGCCTCTGGCAGGGGTGTGGGTGGGGAAGGACCCAGTTTTGTTTAGGGGGCTGGGAGTTTGACCATGCTCCAAAGAGTATATGGGCAACATAAGTTGGACTTCTTTCTTTCTTCTTTTTTGGGTGGGGTGCCATCACATCAGTGGGAGGGCAGACCTGGGAAGACTGGGAAGTGAGTGTGATCAGGGTGCATGATGTGGAATTCCCAAATAATCAAAAATGTTATTTTAAGGGAAAAAAGGGATTAGGATCACCTGAAATAAAAACTGACAATAAACCAAGTGCTGAGAAGGATTGGGAGTTCCCAAACACACATTCTTGGTGTGAATTAAGGTGATATAAATACATTGAAAAATGGGAAGTGACCACCAACCAGGCAACACACACCAGCTGCTATGAGGCCCCCAACACATATACAGCAGAGGACTGCTGGGTCTGGGTTCAGTCAGAGAGATGCACCTAACCCTCAAGAGACTGGAGACCCCAGGGAGTTTAGAGGTCTGGTTGGGTGGGGCATGGAGGTGGGGACATCTTCGTGGAGATGGGATGGGGAGGAAGTATGGGATGTGGGACAGTCAGAGAGTGGACCAGGAGTGGGGAATAAAATCTGGAATGTAAAAAAATAAATAAATAAAAAACAACAACAAAAAAGAAAAATGGGAAATGTTCTTGTAACCAAGTACATATTTCACATTTGACCTAGAAATCTCAGTTAACTTGCTCAAGAAATGAAAACTCATGTTCACACAAAACACACATGTAAATCGTCATGACAACATCATCCATATGCCAAAAGACGGACAGAAACAACCTAGATACCGTCTGACTGGTACACGATGGTGGTACTGATACACAATTGTGGTACGTCTTCACCACGGATTATTATGCAGCAATAAAAAGGCTACCTACTGAGTGGCAAGCACATTAAACTAAGTCTAAGACGTCAGATACAAAAGACTGTGTTGTATGACTCCATTTACACAATACCCCGGAGAAGGCAAACCTGTCAGCACAGAAGACACAGAAGTGACTGCTGTAGCCTGGAGTTGAATGCTTATTACAAAGAGGTAAAGGAGTTTTCTAAGATTTGAGATTATTTTAGTCCTTAATTTTGGTGGAGGTCACACAGTTGTATATATTTGTCAAAATTCATTATACACTGAAGATGGCAAGTTATGATTGAAAACACAAAACTGGTGATAGTGCCTGTTCTTGTTGTTTTCTTAGGTTGTCACTTGCTTCTTTCTGCCTCATAGACATGACACTATTGGGAAATGTCGTCTGTTTTTATGGATTACCACAGCAGACTGTATAAAATATCTCATGACTCTCAGATACACTTTGTTAAATGTATCATTGCTTCTGCTGAAGATCCTACCTCTGTCTTCTCTTTGTAATCCATATTGAAAGCTCCCTGTTTGTAGAATTCTTATGCAGTACATTTGGGAGAGTTCTGCAAATCTGCATTTTAACCAGTGCCAGGGTGAGTGCTAGCATGTGGAGGCCTGTCCATCAGCACTAGGAGGCAGCAGAGTGTCAGGTGATGAAGGGATTCTGTAAGACTGCCGGGTTTAACATCTTGCCTCATTCCTTTTGCAGTGGAAACTTGAGGTGCCTTGGGGGATACTGCAGGGAAAAGGTGAGGATAAGAGAAACAATCTCATCAAAGTCACTAGGATGGAAAGAAAGGACACATGTAAGATACTCAGCACAGTGCCTGGCACCAAGTACATGCCGTCATTGTTTTAAGTGACAGATAGTACCCA